CAAGAAACTGCTAAACGCGTATTCCGTTTACGAAAAAATGCGAAAACATCGTCGATTGTGTTTGCAACTTCCAGCAGTCGGAACCACAGCTTTGTACACAGGTTGAGTCATGCAATTTGATCGGCCATATCTTTTTTATGGCTGGGAATAGTAGAAAGAAGTGGACAAAGAAGTCGAACTGTTTAATAATGTTTGACTTTCTACATTACTTCTTCAGCGTGTGTAAACTCATACTGCGGTGCCCGTTGAACAAGTTTTATTTGAAGTACAGAGCGTTTCAAAACGATAGGGCGAGACGGGACACGTAAATTCGGAATCGAAACGTCCTTTGCCATTCAACAATCCGAAGCCCTGTTTCTGAGATACAAGCGGTCAAAGTTTATAGTCGTTCCCGACAGGCGCCATTTGCATCTCAGTCAGCTGCTCGCACGTCCCAAACTTCAATGGCTCGTATCTCAAAAACGAGGTCTCGTATTGCAAAATGATAAAGGACTTTTCGACCTCCTTTTGCACGAGGAACGTGCATCGTTTAAACAAATTCTGTATATATATATTTCTTCTAATATTGTAGTCGTTCCAGGTTTCTAGAATTCGAGGAACGGATCGACAGCGGCGTCGCGTCACCGCGCGGACGAGAGGGCTGTTTTCGGACGTATATAGATTTCGGTCGGCTCGAGAGCAGCCGGCAGAGCGACGGAAAGAGAGAGAGGCAGAGAGTTCAGGGTCGAGGCATACAGGTGGTCCATAACATAACAGTCACTGCGTTTTATCCGGCAGTAAACCGGCGGCAGGCGCTCCGGCTCTATGATTTAATACCCCAAACCCTTCCCTCTCCGCCGACACCCGCGCACCCCTTACGACCGCCCCCCTCCACGACTACCAGCAGCCTCTGTCCCACCTCCCTTTGCCTCTCGTTTCTCTGCTCTCAACCCCTCCTCCGCGGCGTTGCACCCGCGTGCTTGCACTAACCCAGTGCCGCGGAATGGCATTATCAGCCGGATGCTTCCTATGACCGTGCAAGGGTCAAACGAGGCCTGTGGAGAAAGGGTTTCGAAGGACGCGTCAATTCCATCGACGGGTTCAAGGACGCCTGTTTGACCATTCCGAAGAGGCGATGGAAGCTAGTAACGAACGTCTGGATCACCTTTTCCAAAGAAGAATCGTACTAAAAGTGCAAACGACAAGGTCACCGTTTATGATATCTCGATCCCTATATTAATAGAACAGTAACTAAATATTCCAACCAGCGTGCTTCGATCGTCCGTACTATAAAAAGCGTTTGAAACTTCTCAACAGTGAGAATGTTGTATGTCTAAACAGCTGTACCTTCGAACAGCACGTGTTTTAACGCGTATAAACATTGAGTCAAACTAGTGACACGTAGCAACCAGAGTGTCCATTCTAATCGATAATGATATAAGCGCTTGGCGTTACCATTGCTAGAGCCAGAGAGTTCTTTGAATGCTAGATTTCAACAATTTGATTCCAACAATTGTCTGCACGGACTGCTCGACGACGATGATCGGCATTCACGGCGGATCACCGCTCTCACGCTGTCCGAGCCATATTTTATTCAATCTTCCTCACGTGCTAAGACCACATTTGCGTACAATGTACAACCCCAGAAAGAATACGAATCTATTTACCTATTGCTAGATGCAACAGAATGTAATTGAAAAGTCTGCGTACTTGGAAGTATCCTGATCCCAAAAATCATGAAACTACTTTCTCCAGAAGATTGGTCAGACTTCAGTAGATGCAAGTTTTCTCTGGAGCCTTAGGCTTTAATCCCTTTGATCCAACGATCGTATAGAAACACAGCATAAAAATGGTTTGGTACCGCGAAGAAGAGTTCGAAAGAAGGTCATGCATGGAGAGAATAGTATCGCGACGCACGCGGCCAATCCCTCAAAGACGTTCGCCGAGGGAGAACGCGTAATTCTGGAGCTCGACCACCGCAGAAGCTCCGTAACTCTGTTAATTCATATCTGTAAAGTTGGCCGTCGCTCGGGAAGAGGAACGACGGACGAAGGGCTGCTCGTGGGTGGTTGTAGGTGGGCGGAAGACTGGGTTGCAGGAGGAGGAGGGTGTTCGGGTGGGTGGTCGGACCGACTGGATGGGCGGAAAGAGGGAAAGAGAGGGCTGAGTTAGCCGGCACGGCCGGTTGGGGGTGGCTGAAGGCAGAGGAAGCCGGAGGGAGGGTGGCGGAGGGGTGGTTTCCTTGCCTGGCATCGAGGAATCGATACGCCGGTGGGAGCTCAGCGCCACCAACGCCTCCGACGCCCTACGTCATTGCACCTCGACGACCGAACCCTCTCTTCCTCGGCGAGGTGCGTCCAACTTTTGCAACCCCGATTCGCCCGCGGGGCCGCGATTCCCGTCCCTTCTGGCGCCCCTCCCCTCCGCTCGATCGCTCGTCTCGTTGTCTCGGGAGGGAACCGGGGCTCCGTGGCTGAACAACTTCGACGAGGAAATTGTCGAGATGCTCGTCGAAGGCTCGAGAAATGCCGGGGATGCAAATTATGCAACGGGAGGGGGCGGATTAAAGCTGATCGTAAGCGAGCTACGATTTATCTTGCGGAGTTCGACGATCGTTACCATTTTTCTGGCGATAATTTACGCGTGACCCGAACTGTCGTCGATGGGGATTGTTCGAAGAATAGCGGTATAGTCATACGAGTGTCGAAACATCACCATTATTTTAAAAAATTCTGGATCGCTGATTAATTCATCAGGTTTCACGCATCATTGGCCACGACGGAAGGTCGCGTGCAATTTAAAAATGCATCGGGCACGGAATAACCGCACCGATCCGGATTTACGCGGCCAGAAAGAAAGAGAAATGGAGGCGACAGTGGAGAGGGACGAGTTAAAGAGACATGGAAATGACACGGCGAGCTTAACTTCTGGCACTTCTGGATGGTAATGCCGCGCATCCGCAACCACGACAAGCGTCGGGACGCCGGAAAAAGTTGATGTCCCCTGTTGATTCCTGCTACCCCGCTACCCGTTATTCAAATTGTATTCCTCCGTTCGCGCGTGAAAGCTCATCGGATCGTGTTTCTGTTCGTGTCTTTTCAGCGTTCGTTCGATGTCTGCCGTTTTGGCCAGAAAACGGTATCGAGCGATCGTTTTACACAATCGAATCGGAAGGATAGTTAATAATTACATTTCCGAAACAATTTTAGAATATTCCGCAACCCCTGATTTCTTCCAAACGGACGTTAATGGCGAGCAGGGATTAATATTTAGCGCAAAGGGTCGTTCGCGAAACGCGACAGCCGAAGAATATAAATGGCGAATATATCCCGATACGGCTTAATCGGGGTTGAATAAATTCGAGATTAAAATCGATGCTTGTTACTCAAAATTTGTTTTTCGCACCGCAACGGCCGCGCACGCGCTCCGTATAATTGCCCGAAAGCACTGATTTATCGTGTCGAACGTACTGACAGGGTATCAACGATTTATTCGCCTACTTTTATTGGATCGATCGCAATGCCTCCCGTTAATTAGAAACTACTACATATTGTGGAATCGAGCCACGCGTATTACCTATCGCGCGCGAATCGACACGCTGGCAATGCGTATTAATTAACGCAGCCGACGCACGATTTAATTTCGTTTCGTTCCGCCACGAAACGAACCGGGCCCGGGATTAGCGGAAATCCGACGACGCGAATTTCATTCCGGGTCATGTTATGAGCGAAATCCGCGTCGACGCGTAATTCGAAAAAATCGCCAGGCCCCAATTCGACCGGATCGAGTGCCCCCCATTAATCCTTAAATAGACGCCATCGCGAATATCCGTCGAACTGCCTAATTATTATATCAATTTTCGTCGGTGTTACGTGCTCGATGCTCATAAAATTCTAAGGAATATTTATAAAAAAAATTAATATCGAGATCGATTGGTTGAATACAAATTCAGTTATGGAGGATCGAAGATGGTTGAGAACCGTCGCGACCAGAGCAAAAAGAACGAGGAATCGGTGCCCCGTTCCTTCTTCCTTCTGCTTTGACGGAGTTGTAAAAATAATGGAACGCGGTACACGGCGTCCGTTAGCTAAATGGCATGTAATAGCAAAAGTCGACTAGCGCAAGAAGCGCACCCCACAATACCGTTCCCGTCGTCGTGACTAGTAAACAACGTCCGATCGCTAATTAATAGTGTGTCTTCCGTCGTAATTTGCGACGTTCGACCAACCTGACATTACCGCGGTCGCGTCACGACTCTATCCTCGCTCAGCCCCGTAATAACAACTTCTACATTAGATAATGAGGGCCTGCGGGCCCAACCGCGGGATAACCCGGATCGAAGGAAACTTTTCAGAAGCGTAAACACACGTCATTACGTTTAACAGCGCGCTGCGGGACGAGCACAATGCCGTGGAAAACATCGGAGGACCGAACCTCGTCATGCTTCCATGGGAAATGGATCTATAAGCGACCGATAAAAGATAAACGTCGCGAATAAATTCGCGAAACAGAATTTAATTTTGTACAACGGTGTTCCTTTCGAAGGTGATCCCAATACAAATTGCTCCTTTGACACGTTGCTCACACGAAGGGTGAAATGTGTAACTTGTCCACCCCTATTATTACGTTTTCATTCCTAACGGATCGATCAGAATTTTTTCGTCCCGGTTTCCGTCGTTCGAGTCTCGAAGGCAAGTTTGATCGAATCAGCACGAGCAGTCAACATGTTAATAAGATGATGGACACCTATTCCACTATCCCGTTCTCTAGATTTCCCTCGTCACTGAATCATCCGACCCCCGGAAATAAGTACGGATTCGATCTAATGTTCCGGTCGCGTGACCCGCGACTTCGTTAGACAGGTACTCGAGCACCATTACGTCCTCGTCGGTCATTTCGCGTAACCGTCCCGTATTTTCTGTTTCGACCACCCTAAACGTTCATCGAGAAGTCCGACAAAGAATAGACGCGATACAGCGAAAAAGTAGGCTAGTTCTTTGTGAATTAAACTTCAAACTTACTGCGGCCACGGATCCAGCTCGGAGAATCGAGTCGCCAACACTTACCTGTAACAGAAAAGAAATGAGAAATTAGTTGGAAATCGAGTTAATTGGTGGACGCAGAGTTTCGTGGTACGCGATGCGTTTCGTCCAATAACGACGCATCGGTCGCACGGGAGCGGAAAGATCGATCAGTCGAAGCGTCGAATCGATATTTTGCCGATGCTGCACGACGACGCTTATTGTCTGGCGCTAGAGGGGCGGGCGAAGGGGGTGGTAGAGCGCAGGGGACTCCCACAGCGCGCGATTTCTCGCAAATACGTTTCCATCTACCTGCGCAGCGCGCGTGTGGGCAGGTGCACGCGGGCCCACTGTGTGCGTGGACGCGGCGGCATACATCATCGTGCGACTAATTTCCGCGATAAATATTTTACGGACGGCCATTACGCGCGGGGGCCGCGTGTTCGTGCGATATAAACTATGGATGACTATGGCGGGTGTAACGTCGAGCCCCTGGCGGTAGTGACACGGGTGGGGGGGGGGGGGGGGGGGGCCCCGAAAGGTTTGACGCCCGTAAAATGCGCGGGAACACCAGTACGCGATTCGACCGCGCCGTTTTACTCATTAAAATCTGTTTGTCCGACGCGATAGTGGAGCGCGTTGCTTTCAGCCCCGCGGGCTGCGCAGAGGTCGGGGGTGAAATACGCGGATAGTGGCGCGCCCCTTCGACAACAGAATCCCGCGGGAGCGACGTTAACGCGATAGTCGTGTATCCACGGCGAAAAATTGCCTTTCCGCGAGGGGGCGTTCGATATCGAACTGCAAAAGTCCCGAACCGGCGCGCGGTCGCGTCATTTTCAGCCGCGTGTCGCCCCGACGCATCCGGCGAACGGGAAACTTTACGAAATCCGAGAATGGGTGACTCGAAATTCGGGGAAAATAGATACGATAATGTGACGTGCTTATACGCCACCCGCTACATCGCGTACTTGGGCCTTTGTCCTACTAAGAATTCATTCAGGGTTGAGTCGTCGCCTTAATTGTTTAGCTAATTCTTCATTGTTACATTCCTTGTTAAGTTTTCCATTTATCACCTCGATAATAAACTCCGAAATAATTTCGATAAAAGAATTAACGCAGAGGGTTGCACCGACGCGGCGTTAACGTCACCAACGGTGGCTCGTTCGGATCCACAAAATTGTCGTTAGCTTAGCTTAGTTCGGAGCGACAAAAAGATCACCGCGACGAATCGCGTTGCATCGACTATTCAGCTGTTCGTTCTATGGAAGCAGGTGGCACGGCCTGACCTCGTCTGGCTCCGATCTAAGAACACCAAAAACCTCGTGGTGGGCGTGGCGAGAATACACTGTCGCCGTTCGTTGCACGCGGCGGGTTTCACGAGGAACATTGATTCGATACGCGAGTCTCTCGCCCGTTCACAATCGTCTCGTTGGGTATTGTATCTCTCATTGTCCGCGGCCGTCGGAGCCGTAATGGCGTCGTTGCCGTTGCCACGCGGCCAGATTACGCGCCGCTAATTACGTGGCAACGCACTCGCCAGTCGAGCAACATCTGCTTGAATCGGACTAACTGTTGATGCCGAACAATGGCTCTTAGAAACGCCTGGCAACGTTAGCCGCCCGACGAGATTGAATAAGATATGGCATTGTTCGCCGGGCAGCGTTAAACGACGCAGCCGAAGCGATTGCGTTGCCGTGATTGCTATTAGCAAACACGCAGTTGATGTTACTAGGAATTCAAATAGTCTTCCCAAGCGCAGGGTATTACGAGTTCTTCCAAATCCAGTTGTTGGTTCTACGTTTCGCACGGACTGCCCCCAGTTTCGACCTTTTGTTCGAAAACTTAACCTCGACCCCGTTGCAGGGAGAACGGAAGATCAACCTTGGGTCAAGTAGAATGAGGACGGTGTAACTTTTGCTGGACCCAAGACGACTCGCAAACACAGAATCAATGTTATTAGAGTTTCGAATCGTGTCCTGCAATGCATAGTCTTAAGTCCAATCCTTCTGAATCCACTTTCCAGTCTCTCCCTCTTAGTTAAAAACTTTCGATCCTATTGCAAGTAAAATGGATGATCAGACTTTGGTTAAGTTGCTTAGTCGCGAGTCTTGCGATCGTAATGTCTGACCCAGTACGGTTGCATGTTCCTTCCAAGACCGATCTTTCCTGCTCGGGGATTTATTGTGTTCCATTTCTTCTCGTCAAGTTAATTAATGCTTCGATCGCCTAAAAATTGTCCGAACGTGGTCGTTTTGATTTATTTCGCAGGTCAGTTACCGCGTACGACGTAAATATTCATTATCGCGAAATTTCCTGATACAAGTAATTGGACCTGAATTACACACCGCTTGCATAAATTAGCTGTAGCTAAATAATAAATAACTAGATGCAATTTCCATTTCCTGAACAGGTTCGAAGCTTTAATTAAATTTCCATCGATTACGAACAGGCAAACCACTGTCGGGACATCGCGGACTTTTGAATGGCGAGACGTTTTACACGTATACTTGAAAGATTGCACCTGAGTGGTATTCAGTATTATTCAAGATATCTACCTTTATTGAAGAAATAAAGAATTCATAAAATAGAAGTTACATTCAGTATTACTATGTTTTCCACACTACCAGGAAAGGGTTAAAAAATCGCGGAACAAAAGAGAGACGTGGAGCGTTTTCCGTTCCCAAGCGCAGGCGCGGTGAAAAAAGCGCGCGTACGGGGAAAAGATGGCGCCAGGAAGAGGTGCGCGCAATTGGACAAAACGGTAATTGAGTTCTTATCGCCAGCGGCGTGGGCAATTGGGTGGCAAAACTTCTTCTACCGTTTCCTTCGCGTTGGAACGATATTATTAACGAGATCGCGCGTTTGTCTCCACCTGCGCCACGCTGGTAATTACACCGACAGAAACGGATTTCTGGATCCCCTGGCGAACGAAATAAACAACGAACGGGATTGGATCTGTGCTTTTTATTTTAACTGCAGGTTATCAACTGCGACATATTTTAAATTTAAACTCTATTTGTGGATCTTTCCATGAAACGCAATATTCTCCGATCTTATTATACAATAAACTACGCTCATTTACGCTTGGTATACTGGAATAGTATCTTATCAACACCTACATCTTCGATACATTCAGGATTCGCCATTATGGTATTATATGGCTTTCTCGTCTACTGTTTCGCTTCTTCCGTAAACTCATCACGTGTTCACATACGTCGGTCGTCGTATGTTGCTTCAACCACCCCCTGTCTATAATCATATAGGGAACTATCGTTACGAATACATAGGGTGTTCACAATTTCTGTCCTCAGTTTCTCTTCTGCTCGCAAGTACACCAGGGTCGGTTCAACAGCAAAGATGGATTTCTCATCTTTGCTGCATCATCTATAACACCCTTCGCGTTTGTTCCCCTTCCTGCCTCGTCGATCTGATTCGTACTAACCTCCCGTACTATTTCGCTAATGTTCATCCCACCTGTTCGCGGTCATCCGTTTCTACTTATCTCATTATTACAGCATCCTTCAGGGGTTCGCGTGCTTTCAAACGTAGATCCCGCATCCATCAACACTTCGCGTTACTTTTTCTAAATCCGTCTATCTCTCGCGTTTCGTTTTTCGTTTATGTATCCAATGTTCCTCCGTTCAACGAGCAAATAGAACGTCGACCCTGTAGCGTATTTATTTTGATTTTTCCAACCCTTTCGTACGATCTTCCATACGACGATGTGCAATCGTGCTCCCAATATAAATGCTTCCACGGCCATTAATCATTTAATTTTTGAAGGAATGATAACAGTTTACCTAATGGAGACGTTACGATAACAAACTACGATTCCCAGAATTTCGATAGAACACCAGCCATGCGGTCAAGCGGGATTACTTTGAAGTAGAAAATGCCTCGGTTGCATATCGCCATCGATCAACTTCCCACGCCCAAAGAGCTCGTTCGAACGAGAAACGGATAGTCCACCCCCTTGCCTCCTGGCGCAGCCCTCCGATCGGCGATCTTGTCGTGGAACGAGTGAACTTGACTTGGAAACAGGAAACCGAGCGTGGATTCGTGTCACGGACGTGACTCGGTCGGTCTGGCCACAGTCAAGGAACGGACCTTGAAGCCGCGCGACGCGTGAAAGTTGACGCCGATCTCCGTCGAACGATCGGCAGGATATTCTAGAAACGACGTGGAACGGAGGAGGAACACGATCGACCGTCGTCGTGCACGAGAATCACGAGCAACGAGTAGTTAATTACAGCGTGCGAGCTAAATAATAATTACTTTTATTAATTTATCTCGCGGTCGTGCTCGATCGGCACCCGGTTTCTCTTCTCGTCGCTATTTATCGCGGCGCTAATTTTAATCGATACTATTCGCTTATCGCGATGCATTAAGGGCAATTAACGTCGATCGCCCGATCGTGCGCGAGGCTAAGCAGCAACCGGGGATCGAAGATGCAACCTACTCGATGCAACCGCCTCGATAGCTAGAAAACATCCCTCGAGGAACACGTCACCAAGTTATTTCCTACGTGATAGTGTTTGAAAAGGACGAGACGATGGATTTGAAAATTGTTTAATCGAGGAGGCTTGGATAAGTTAAAAAGAAAGGGGCACGAAATTTTGGAATTTGGATGTTTAACTAGATGCAACAAATTGACCAGTGTTCCCCCGTTCAGGGGGTCGTTTCTGGCTCGTCAAAGTGTAGATCGTTGTGCAAGAAGGACGAGCGATATTAAATATGGGTTGCGCCTCGGGGGAAGCCCCGGGGTCGCACCTGCGGGTGGCTTCTTCCTCCCCCCCTGGTTGGTTCGGTTGGTGAAGCAGGGATTACCCGCGCTAAGAGGCCAAGCGGGGCTTCGCGCCTCATCGTCTGGAAAATGGCTTACTGCTTACATTTACCTACCGCCCCCGGACCCTCCAACCCCTATGTATACCATGTACACGTATATATACGCGACGCTTTGGCCGGCGAAGCGCACCTCCGTGTCGCGTGCGCGTGTAACTTGTAAATAACGCCCTTCTTCTTTCTCGTTGACTCTGTCATTAGAC